GGAAAGATTTGCAAAGCAGCCAATTTCAAACATTATCCAAAATATGAAGACTTTGCCTGGTTCTTTTAAAGAAAATAGTGCGAGAATATGCGACAAATGTAGAAAAGCTGAACTTTACACTTATTTTGAATGAATTTTCGTTACGTAATAAAACCGAGTTGAAAACAATTGTAGAGTGCCCACGAAATGAAAAAAAAATCACAAAAAAAATTTGAAATGTTTTATAAAAAATGTTTACGAATATTAAAAAAAAAATATGAATTTCTACAAAATGTTGTTTAGTAAAGTGCAATTTGCAAGTAGCTAAGATGTCGCGTTGATTTTTAATAAGTTTTTCGCTTAAATTTCGAGCATGCTAAACATTTATCGCTACCTAAAGGAAAGGAAAGAAAAAGGAGGCAAGTGCATCAAAATTCTGCATTAAAATCTAAATTTTGAAATAAGTGGACTTGGCACCTTTTCACCTTTAGATAGCGATATGTATGTATTTATATTTTTTATATTTACTTCTCACCATCACATCAGAATTTTCAAGCATTGTTGCTGACAACAGAATTTCATCCACAGCTCTGTCATCTACATGGTATTTATAATGCCGGTATAACATCAAGAAAACAAGCAATTTCGAAGGCAGAGAATATCAGTAACATCAGTTTCAGAGTACGCACACACATACATTTATAAGTCGTGAATGAAAAATTTATTAAAAAATATTTCTATTGTATTTTATGCGCTGCCAGACAAGAGCCGCATGCAAAAGTCATTCTGGCAAGGACATACCTACATATATATGTTCGCGGTGCAGGCATAGAAAAATATATAATCAAAAATGTATTTAGGAAAATCTGAACTTAAAAAAGTAGTGAGGCAAAATTTTTTTTAAAATTATAAGTTTAAGCTTAAAACACGGTCGTTGAGTTAACTACGAATTCAAAAATAAATTATCGAATCGATTAAATATGATAAAAAAAATACAAAAAAAAATTCATACTGAAAAATGAGCACAACTTCAAAATTCAGTTTTCCGATAGAAGCGATTGAAAACTTAATACAAATACTCAAATAATTTGGGTATCTGACGACTAACTCGATATTTCTTAAAAGATTACGGTGACTCCTATAACCTCTTAAACAGCTTATATTCAGTCTCTGCTGGACTTCGGGAAACAGTCATATGACAGGAAATAATGGAACAGACGATTGCACTAAAAAGGTACATATCTGCGGTAGGGTTACTTTTTTATGTTGTATACTTTCAGGCCCTACTGCTTTTTATGTAGTGAATTTTGGCGAACACAACTTTGCGTAAAGATTGTCAGAATTACATTGCTATTTTAGAGAGTTGTGGAGAGCAGCTACCAACATATATCTATGAATGAAGAATCTGTACACCTCTTGTCATAGTTATAAATGCACCACGTATTGGCAAGTTTTAACAACCTACCAATTTGTTATTTAATTTTAGTTATTTAAAAACAAAATCAAAAACTTGCGTTCAAATTTCGAGCCTTTTAACTAGATTTCTTAGAAACATTTTGAGAAAATAAAGTGCAAGTTTGAAGTAGCAAGGACTGTGCCCGTCATTTTCTTCCATGTGAAGTGTGTTCTGTGATTTTTTTATAAGGAGAAAATCAGCAGCATCTTCAACCAAAAAAATTGCCAAAAATCAACGGTGATTTTTAGCCATTTCAAACTTGTATTTTATTACTAAAATTAAATGGGCTACAAAACGGCATACCCAAAGTCTTTCTTAGGAACCTAATTACAAAGTTCGACATTTTTTGAAAGGTAGTTGAATTTTTTTTAAATATTGCACATAGTTTGAAACGTACTCAGTTTGAAAAGTACTCAGTACTCAGAAAAGATCCCGAAAGTACTCAGAACTGAAATGAACTCGAAAGCACTCAGTACTCAAAAAAACTCTCTGAAGTAGCACACTGGTGTTTAACTTGGTGTAAATCTATGAATTTTGGTACAATCTAATCAGATTTGTACCAACCCATCGATTAAGTCTCGAGCTTTGTTTACATTTACCGGTATTCGTACATGATTGTACTTAATTTTTATTTTCAATAGTTTTCAATTACAATACCCAGTAAATTTAGCCATTCATTTTAAATTATTTGGGATTAATATAACAATTTCAATAAAGTGTTGCCAGTACAGTGAGAAAGTACTGAGTACTCTGAAAAATACCCGGCCCCTAAAAGTATTGATACTAAAGGTTCTCGATACTTCCCAACACTAGTACTTACATAGCTAGAAAATTTAGAAGGCTTAAAGCCATACATATAAGAGAAGGGCATCGCATTGGGCCTGAGTTGCCTACGTGCGAACTATTTGGCTTGAACTGAGCGCCTTACTAATCTAACCATTCCTAACTGTTTTACACAGGCCAACAAAAATGGGAAATTAATTTTGTTTCCTAAAATCTTAGAGCGATTTTTTGATACTTTGACCGCGTGTTTCTCAAAATCTAAAGCTGATGGAAACTTTATATTTACAGATTCGTAATCAGCACGCAAAAGTCTATCAAAAACAGGTTTTACATTATACATATGTATGTATACATGTATGTAAACCTCCAACAAAACCTCTATGTCAAAGTTTTTCCAACTCTATTTGCTTTCTACCCACAATGCTTGGAAGAAAAATTGCTAGCAATAGCTCTTTAAGATTTTGATGGTGACAACAATGATTGTTATACTTGCTGGCTTGACTGATTTTCTGGCGCTGTTGGTGGTCCATAACAAATTGTTCTCAATAGATGTCGCTTGCCGCCTCACTAGCTCATAGGCTAACTTACGAGCCAGTTGACTAACCGACCGACAGCCTGGCTTGACGAGTTGGTTATTTAGTTGATTGGTTCAACCGGACTTTGTCGCATTCGTCATTGATGGCGTTGATGTTGATGCTGATGCATTTCGGTTTTTGTTATTGCTATTGTCACAGTCACACTCCACTTGCTGTGCACAAAACCTGCCAGCAATTTCTTAACTTCTGCAGTCAATGTCATTGCAGCTGCCATTGTTACAGTGCTGTGGCTATTTGGTATGCTGGCGTTTGTTGATTGTGCGCTGCGTTGACTGCCATTGGCATTTTGCGCTTAGCGAATTGGTTTGACCATTTCTACTGGCCTTCATAGCTTGCCTGCTTTAAATATTTGTTATTGTTGCTTGCAATTATTGTCGGCCGGGGTTAGTAGAATCACTTTGCGCACTTTTCTTACTTCCCTTCACTTGCAATTTGTTCTTCATTCGCTGCGGTTTAAACTAATATTTGTTTGTAGTAGCATAGCCCAATAGCTTACAAACGCATGCATGCCCGAATGTCCTTATCAACGTTAATGGAGTGCAATCAGGGCAAAGTCAATATTTTTCTGTCCAGTCCATAATAAATAAATGTTTATTCAGTATAATCGTAAATTGTGTTTGTTATTGTTATTATTACCAATGTTCATTGAGCAATGACTATGTAGTTAACGAAGAAATGAACTGGGAATATTGGTGTGGAAATAATTTCGATAAATTTGAAAATACGTTAGAGGTTGGTTGTAGTTTTGCAATTGGGTGTTTGTGAAGAAGGAAAAAGTACACGCTTTCTGTTAAGAGTAAACTCTTATTTTTAGTCAAAGTAAACTAAAATTTTCCCCACCGATTGCATATAGGTATATATCAAATCAACCAATGGTTAGCATCGCCACCTTTTTTTTTGATGAATTTGAGTCCTTTTAGTGTTGCCAAAGGATAATTTAAAAAATGTTTTTGAAAATTTCACAATTGCTCGGATGTTGAGAGTTTATTTTTGAATATCTAAAGAACTATTATAGTTTTAATGGTGATACAAACAAAGTAAATAAAAAATAAAAAAATCAACCATTTTTGATTTGGATGAATTTAGGTCTGAACTTTTCTTTAATCATATAACAAAGTTTTGCCAAAGGAAAACTAAATTAAATTAAATTTTGTTTTTCCTAAGTTATGAAAAATTTTAAGTTTCACAATTTCCGTACTTTGGAAAGAGTATATTTTTATTAAGTTTATGAAAAACTGTTATTGTTACAAAGAACTTTTTTTTCTCGTTTTGAAGGTGATATTTGAGGCCATTAGGAAAAAATATATAAGAAATTCGAAAACTAAAGAAAATTACAGAATTTAAAAATCGTAAAATCAAAAAGTTTTAATTATTATGACTAAGTTCTAACAGTTAGAAAAGATCCTGAAATTTGTAACGTATTTTTTTAACTCGTCTATGTATTTTCGAAAAAATTTATTGCAAACCAAAAATTAAAAATGAATTTTCATTATGTACAATTTGTTAAACATAACTTTATTTAAAATTTGCAAAAAAAAATTTATAGTTAAAAATTTAATATCCTTAAAAAAACAAGTTCTTGAAAATTTCATTGAGCCAAAATATTTTGCACGTGTTTGCTTTTACGATCAAATTTCAAAATTCTGCAAATTTTTAAAATTTTTATATTTTTTATGTATTCTTCTTTTTCAAATATTAAAAAATGAATTTGCAGCACGCTGGCAATTGTGAAATTTAGAATTTTTCATGACTTCCTTAGTGAACTTATGGTAATGTACAAGACGAATTCATACAAGGTGATGTAAACGGAGCAGCTGAGTTTAACGCGAATTGCGCTGATTGTCGAAATGATGCGTTTTTTCTAAATTTTTTGCCTTATGATTTTCCTGCATATAGGTTGATGGTGTAGTTTCTTGTTGTTGTGCTGCCGCTATCACTTTGTATGAATTCGTCTTGGAAACACATACATGAAAAATCTATGAAATTATTAGCTAATCTATATCTGCGATATTTTTTTGGAAAGTTTGCAGAATTCGCTTCTGCAATTAAGCTTTAGGCGGAAGGGGACCATAATTTTAATTTAATCTTTAAAGTAAAGATAATAAAAAAATTTAAGGAAATTTTCTACACATTGGCACTCAATATAAATAACTTATACTACTATTTTTTTTCTCATTTACTTTCAGTCACAGAAAAAGAAATTCGACAATGGTAAGTGCACTATTTTCTATGCTTGAGAGATTTAAGAAAACATATACATTTCCATTTAATCTCCATGCTAACTAGGCACAAAGGATTCCTGAAAGACTGTCCAAATGGTTTACTCACAGAGCAAGTAAGTCATATGTTGAAACAAATGTATATCTACCATATCTAAGAGAAAAATATCGAATATACGAAGAAAAGTTCATTTTGTATTTCATTCTGATTGTGATTGTGAAAAATATTAGCAATTTAAAGGGATTTTCAATCTGATTGTCTGCAAAATTAGATCTAGTCTATGGGGTAATTTGCGGACCCGGTCGCTGATGACTTGGATACCCGCGCCAGAATCACAGCACTCTATAAAATTCAGATTGTCATGCTATTCGCTTATTATGCTCATTTCTCTCCAAATATTCCTTACTAAATGATTTTTACTTTCACTTTTTACAAATCCTTTTAACGATGTCCATAGGTTCAACACCTCTCTAATGAGCGCCGTAATTTCAAAATTAAATTTCGAATTGGTTAATCACGGATCCTGGGCCCTGATCTTATAACGTTTTGTGTATGTGCTTTGTAATATGACTTTAAATTGTAAACAGCAAGCCAAAATAATTCGAAAAGAGGAACGGAAAAATACATTTTAAACTCGCGTAAACGCGTAAGAAGCAATTGTCAAAATGAGGCCAACCCTGCTGCCGTGGATAATTTTTGCTCGTAAGAGCGCGTCAAAGTAGAAATTTTTGATTACATTTTTCAATAGAGCCACCATGACCTAAAACATGTATGGGCATTTATCTTTGAGCACAAGAGGCGGAATTCCAACCAAAATTCAATAGCGTATCCATTTTCATTTCGGAATTAAATAGTTCTCACACTTTCTTTCTATCTAAAAGAACTAAGAGAGTTTTACTACTTTTCTGCTTGACGGACCCTGATCAAACGTTTTATCCTCTCGAAGTTCCTAAGTAAAATTTTTGTAAATCAACTACCAGGCGTTTTAAGGTCTTAATGCGCGGTATAGTCGCTAATGACCTAAAATATTAATAAAATTATGAATAATTATAATTAAGTATTTCTTAATGAAAATGTTCCTAACTTCAATTTAAGTTTTTTGTAATACACATTCTAAATATATATTTTTTCTCTTTTATTTTTCCCAAAAAAATTTAATTTAATCGACATCAACCAACACATCAAAAACTTGGATAAAATATATAAACAACTTAAATGTGCCCACAAAACGTGCTAATTATCCACGCCGCACGCATCTTTAACACTGCCACAAAACTTGCAATAATGCGATGCCAACTTTGTGGGAATAATCAACTGCGATGAACGCTTAATGAAACGATTGACACACACACACACACACACGTGGCTGACTAAAACAAAAACAACAACACTTAAACACAATTAAAATTATATAACTGCGCATGTGTACCACGACGCTCTCTGTGCTTGGAACTGGCTGATTCAATTCTTTATTGCAACATAAATGCAACAATTGAAAAAAAAAATCGTTTGACATTTACACGCAATTTACGCGCTTGACTGACTACTGACAATGCCCGGCTGGCTGGCTGGTTTGGCGTGCTATCTTAACCTCAACAATCTGCCGCAATCTGCCGCCGTCACCCCAACCACTGCTGTTACTGTTACTGTTGCATGGTTTTTGTCTGCGATTGTAACCGACGACGATGCGGACGCCGCACGAATGCAACAAATGATAACTTTTTCACTCGCACGCGACACACATAAAAACGCTTGTGAAATTACACGCATCGTCCATTCTAACGCGCTTCAATTTAACAACAACAACTACTGCCTGGTTGTTGCTGTTTTTGTGTATGCAACTTTGACACTATCACTAAAAACAATATGAACACGATGCAAATGGATTACGCAAACAATAAAAAAAAAAACAACGTTGCTACTCGCTGGAAAATTAAATGTTTGCCATTCATTTCGAAATGAATTGCTGGCGCGTTACCCCTTTGATGTTGTTGCCATCGCTGCTTTCGTTTCTAAATTTCTGCCTTTATGGACACAATCATCGTCACTGTCACTTCGCCAACTTGCTTGTCACGCTGCGTTTCCTTCCGTTGGGTGTTGGATTCTTCGTTGCCTTTGGCGTTATCGCGCGCGTCGCTGGCAAAAACACTTTACCAAAACTGATGTACTTCAAAATGGAAACCCACTTACACACGCATGTACTTGCATATATGAAATCACAACAACCATCGTAACACTACTTGCTTGCATGCGTGTCATATCTTATTTGGTTGTGGTTTTGTGTGCTATACGCGTGTATCACTCACTCTGGCGGCGGCTCATGGCACCGTGGCGTATACGCAACATTTAATATTTTCGCTTAACTCACTCACTCACTCCGTTCATGGCAAAACCGGTGACAAATATAAATGCGTTAACGTACAAAAAAAAAAAAACAACTATGATTACCACAAAAACCACCAACATTTGTAATGCTCGCACATACACACACACACACACTTGCACGCACGCATATTTGATCTAAAGGGTTTTATTAAAATCTACAAACAATTCTTCCCGCAAGGAGATCCCAGTAAATTTGCTTCGCTGGTGTTTCGAGTTTTCGACGAGAATAATGTAAGTATCTAAATAAATTTCTTTTTATAAACTCTTACCACTACTATCTACGTATGTATGTATGTATGTGTGTTGGTGTTACAAAATAATCTTGTGTGTTTTCGTGCGTGCATTTGCTGGTGTAAAACAGCTGCCTGTTGTGTGATGAATGATGTTGATAAATGAATTAAGTTGATGCAATGAATTTGTGCTGCGTCCTGCATTGTATATCCGGTATTACCGCATAGCATTCCGTCAGCGGTGAGTTTTTAGGGTTGCTGGGTACATGCAATCACGGAAATGGGTAGAGAACGGCAGCAGAAGAAACAAAGTTAAATAAATGTTTTAAGCAAAATAAACGCCAAAAGCTTAACTTCGCGCCCCGGATATGATTTGAGTGGATTTATTACTCAAGTTGTACAAGTGTACGTAGCTTATTTTGATAAAAGACTAAAGTTTGACGTGAAGCGTTGTTGAGCTCCTTCTTGCGGCGCATGAGTTAGTGTAGATAGTTGCTTTAACTTCAGTTGCATTTTATTGTGTGGGGATTTAGACAAGATTGCAAAAGAATTTGTACTGTCATGTATTGTTTTCTGTTTTGTGTGCTGTAATGCGGTTGCTACTGAAAATAAGTACAGAAAAAGTGCACATCGTCCTTTGTGATTAATTATCACAAGGTGAGGTAAAATTTTTTCTAAATGAAACCAAGTAATTCAAGCTACAGGTTTTTTGAGGCAACAAGTAGTTTAATACAGATACCGTAAATTATCATAAGGTTAAGGGTTTTTAACCAGATAATAAGTAAGGAGCCCAAATTGAAGACACTTTTTTTAAAATACAAATCTGCCACTTTTTCAATAGGGTGAGAAAAGTATAATAGAAAATTGGTACCTAAACCTGTAGAATTTTTGCATAATAATATTAACTAGTGAACCGAAATGGCGTTAAAACGCACTAAAGTTTAATTAAAACCCTTAGAAACTATTCCAAGCAGGGACCATAACAGTTACAACTTTTATTAAGAAAATCGCTCTTTAACAATTATTTTTTGACTTTTATTTAATTACTCCTTAAATAACCGTTATTTCTGACTTTTATTTTATTAATCCAAAATAACAATTATTTTTTATTTTTCTCTAAATAATCTGCAAATAACAGTTATTTTTGTTTTTTATATGTCTTTATATGTCTTATAAAACAGTTATCGAGAACTTTTATTTATAAAAGTAATAAATAAAAATCAGGCACTTACCTTTATTTTTTAAATCATACTTATTAAAGCCAGTTGTATAAGTCGTAGTAAACTTTTGTTCCCCACACCTTCTCAACTGCGAAAAATGTTAATAATTTAAAAATAAAAGTCTTCAATAACTGTTGTCTAACACATATAATTAAAAATCAAAAGTAGTTGTTATTTTTTTCAATTTTGCATAAAAATTTCAAATAAAAATTTATTTTAAAATTTGAGTATCGGTGAAAAAAGTAATCGATTGGTATGTATCACTTAGTTGTAGAACATTTCCTTCATAGTGAATCTTTCCATAACAGTTTTCATCAGTAACTATTATGTTCGGTCCCTAATGCCAAATGTTAGTCAGAGTTATAGCGATCCGAGTGCCATATTTCATCTTAATTCGTAAAGCCGTTTCTGAGTGAAGAGAGGTCTCGCGTACTGTCGGTTTTTAATATCATCAAATTTCAAATACCCTGATTGACTTTTTAATCACGTGGCAACCCTCCTAAATAAAGGTCAGAAATAAAGCGTTTTAAAACCCATTTCGATTGATATACATGTTTTAGTAATGCATCTGAATCTCAAAAAATTTGAATGTAACTTTTTAAACGGGTGGGTTGCCATTATAGGTATAAATGTTCAAACTAAAGTTTTCTTAATGCTCTTTCGTTGGACACCCGTTCTTTTATATTTCATATAATTTGTATATAAGTTAATTAAATTCAACTTTTTAAATTGGTGGCAACCCGTTTAAAAATATTTTCAAGCTAAAACCTTCTTAAATAACTTCAACTGGCATCGTGATCCATATTCTAATAATCCGATAAATTAATTTTAATTTGATTTTTTGAACACGTGGCAACTCTGTAAATATAGTTTAGAAAAAACCTCGTTAAACCCATTTCGAGTTAAAATATTTAAATAATTCATTAAACTGATTAAATAATTTAAGTTTAACTTTTTAAACGGGTGGCAACCCTGTTTAAATGCCACAAAATATCCTTAGTATCTGCTATAATATGAATGAATATGAGCTATACTAAAGATTTCTTAACAATCTTTTGTTTGGAATATGTTAATGGTTAATTGTTTATTAGTTAATTGAATTCGACTTTTCAAACAGCCGGCAACTCTCTTCAAAATATTTACAAACTATTACTTCCTTAAAGCTTTTCCTTTGGCGCCCATGTTTCTGTTACCTAATTCCCATAATTCAAATTGGATATAACTTTTTTAAATAGGCGGCACCCCTCCTACAATAAAGTTACGAAACAAAGATTTTCAAAACCATTTCCATTGATACCCATTTTGTATTCATTGATTTAACTTTTTAAATAATTTGGCAATTAATAAATATGGCAATTTTTTCGATTTTTAAGTCTTTTCTTTCTTTCTTTCTTTCTTTTTAATTTCACACCTCACTTTTGACAATCGAACGAACGGTGCCGATCTAATGACCTGGACGAAAAATCCCTTCGCGTATTATATATGTATGTAGATAATGGAGAGGGTTTCTAACTTCAAGAGGTACGAAATGAATTACCGGAAAATCTCCTGATTTGGCACTAAAATGTGACCACAATTTTTTATATCTTTGACCCGGTACATTCAGTTTGTTTGATAAATCTCGACAATTTGATATAAATCGATAACTTAATGAATTTAAAAAACACTAAAATCTTGATAACTCGACTAATTTCCACAGCTGTGAACTTAGAGGCCTTGATGAATTTCGATAACTCAAAAATGAATATATATCTCGATATAAATCGGAAATTCGACAAACTTTGGATACATAAATTTCGATAACTCGGTATAGCGCCACAATCAATAAATATCGATAACTCAATAAGTTCAAAGAACTCGTTGCATATATTTCGTTAGCACTATAAATAATAAAATGTAATTCAATAAATATCGATAACTGGATAAATTTCATTAACTTGACAAATTTCGATAATCCCATAACTTTTTATAACCCTTTAACTATCCGTGAAATTCGACAACGGAATAAACATTCATCAATTTGAATAATTCGATGCGTATCGATAATTTAATAAACATCGAAAATTTATAAAGTTCGGTTACTATAAGCTTCGATGATGCTATAAATTTCAGTAACTTGATAAATTTCAAAGACTAAATTTCTTATGACTGAATTATTTCGATTCTTATATAAAGTTTTCAATATATTCTTTTACACTTTCAGTTACCTTAATTCTTATATATTTGGCATTGTTTTCATGTTCGTCTTTATCTTCTATTTCGTTTTCACTTTTTTGCCTTAATCATTATCATTTATTTTTTCAATATTACATTTATCTTTATAACAAAGTTTAATTCCAAAGACGAAGTAATACACAAATACGGAAACGCCAATTTTCGTCAAATTTTCAACCAATTTTGAAGTCCTTAAAAGCCCTCCGTACCTACAGCAAAATAGCTTCCCGTGGTTATCAAATCGGTTCGGGACAATCGGGAAATCCACAGCATGCAATTTTTGACGGATTTTCATTTTTTTTTTTTATAATTTCAAGATGAGTTTAGTTATGAGGGGTTAAAGGAGCTAATTAAAAAAAAAAAATATTTATTTATATCAAACTTTTTAGCGCAAAATGTTGAGAAAGCAGCAATTTTGGAGAAAATCGATTCTTCTGTTCCTGTAATGGATGTTTTACATAACAAAAGTAGTAAAATTACAATAAAAACTTCAAGCAAATTTTCATATAAGATACTGTCAAATCTTTCTTCTCGCTCTTATTACTACACCTGGTATTATTTCACCATGCTTGTTGTTTTGCTCTAATGCTGCTATCTGTTCAATGTACCTTGGACAAATCTACTTTAATAAGCAAATATACGCACAAAGCGGAATGACGAAAAAACTTAACATCTGGGTGGCTCAGTGGAGAGATTGAGAGCAAAAACAACAGAAATTAAAATCATTGCAAATAAATTAAGAAAACGCTCAAAATAAAGTATTAGCAAATATTAACAGCCAGTTTCACCAAACTATTTAAGTGGAAATTAACTTTAATTTAATTTTGTACTTCATTCTCATTTAAATAATTTTCAGTTTCAATAAACTATTTATTTAAGTGAGTAAAAAGTGGTTGTAAAACAGACTAGGCCAGCGAAAGCTTTCATTTGTACTGAGAGCTTTTGAAAGCTTTGGCACGCTGTGTTGTAAAAGCAGGGCTGGTATACAAGTAAGCAGCAGATACACAATGTTCAGGTGATTAAACGTGTAACACCTCTGAGTGTGGTTACTCTGATTTAGTTTTTATTTAAGTGAAGAGCATAGGTCACTTCAATCAAAATTAAAATTGATTGGTGAAACCAAAAATTCGAAAATTAAAGTAACTTTCACTTAAATAATTTGGTGAAACTGGCTGTAAGAAACGTAAAAATCTGCGAATCTCTTCAATACATATGACTCCAAATACAAAATCCCATTTTGAGGTGCACGCGAGGCGAGGTCGCAACGGACCACCGATAATTATTACCTTTGCTCATCGAGTGGAGCTTTAAATAACGCAACTAGTTGCCGGTAGAGTTCACTGCTATCGGTTGAAGTGATAGGAATAGAAGATAAATGAAACGGGGGTAAAAAGTAAATCCAAACTGTTTTTGATGAAATTTCAAAAGATGTTTCTGAACTTGGAATGAGGTAATGCAAGTGAGTATGCGCTAACCTAATTTATAAAAAGAGCTTTTTGAAATTTTATCTGATGTCTCATTAACAGACACTCGCATTTGCCATGGAACTTAAAATTTAACAAATTTTAATATACAGTATTGGCCAATACAATAGCGCCACTCATGTTTATTTATTTATTTTTAAGAATTTTCAATTAAAATACAGTTCATTCTCTCACAAAACTCACATAAACTCAAGCTTAAAACTTTTTAAAAGACCGCAAAAAAGTGCAACAAATTTTCACCCAAATTTCAAACTTTGTTCTCAGAAGCGGTAGAATTTTTTTGAATACACAGTTTTATAGCACATTCAATTTTAGTCTAATAATGTGGAAGTTTCAAGTGGCTAAAAATTACCGTTGATTTTTTAGAATTTTTTTCGCCGAGTATGTTGCGGTTTTCTGCCATATAAAAATAAATTGTGTTTAGTCCATATATGGAAGCAAATAAGACAAAAAAAATCTAAAAAATCAACGGTAATCTTTAGCGACTTGAAACTTGCACATTATTGGACAAAATTGAATGCGCTATAAAACTGTGTACTCAAAAAAATCCTAGAGCTTCTGAGAAAAAAGTTTGAAATTTAAGGGAAAGTTTGTTGCCCTTTTTGCGGTCTTTTAAAAAGTTTAAAACATTGGTTTATATGGGTTTTGTTGGAGAATGAACTGTATTTTAATTGAAAATTCTTAAAAACAAATAATTAAACATAAGTGGCAAACAATATCGCTTTGAAAGGGGGGTGCTATAGATATGTCCAATACTGTATGTTAGTGTTTGGCCGAGCTTCTCCTCCAACTTGTGGCGTGCGCCTTGATATTGTCACACAAAGCGGGGGGACCTACAGTTTTACGCCGACTCCGAACGGCGATTGTATTTTTATGAGAAGCTGTTTTTCATGGCAGAAATACACTCGGAGGTTTGCCATTGCCTGCCGAGGGACGACC